CGAAATGAGTGTTGGCCGAAGTGAGCCACGGCCGAAATGAACGTTGGCCGAAATGAGCCTGTGCGGCCGAAATGTAACGCGGCCGAAGTGATCAGACGCGACAAAGTCTACTATCACGGGAGAGTCTTGAAAACCTACCGTACCTAAGAATACATACGAAAACATGAAAAAATCAAAAAAAAAAAATAAGAAACCATAACAAATCTAAATTACCTAAGAAACCTAAGAAATCTAAGAAACCTTGGAAACCTAAGAAACCTAAGAAGAACCTAAGAATAACCTAAGAAACCTACACATACAAAAAGAAAGCAAACAAAAGCAAATCAAAGAAAACTTAAGAAACCATAACAAATCTAAGATTACCTAAGAAACCTAAGAAAACCTAAGAAACCTAAGAAACCACAACAAATCTAAGAAAACCTAAGAAACTAACAAGCCATAACAAATCTAAGAAAACCTAAGAAACCATAATATTAAACCTAAAAACCCTAAGAAAATGTAAAAAAATCTAAGAAAAACCTACAAAACGTAGAACCCAAGAAAAACTATGATGGCCGAAACGTCCATCTGCCGAAATGAGCGTTGGCCGAATTGCAGTGTTGGCCGAAGTGAGCCACGGCCGAAATGAACGTCGGCCGAAGTGAACCTGTGCGGCCGAAATGTAACGCGGCCGAAGTGATCGGACGCGAACCACCAGGCCTGTACCGCGACACTCTGAAACGACCGGACGGCATGACCTCGGTCTCCTTCAGCCAAGGCAAAGCTTGGGTTTGGGACGTCACCTGCCCGGACACCATGGCCACTTCCTACATCGCCAAGACGTCCCAGGAGGCCGGGGCTGCCGCCATGATGGCAGAGGCGAAGAAAAACAATAAGCACGGATATTTACGCGATAATTTCAATTTCTCTGCTTTGGTTTTTGAAACAATGGGCGTATGAAGTAAAGAAGCGAAGTGTAAGATGTCTACTCTCGGTAAGATGCTTTTTGAGAGGACACAGGAGAAACGGTCCACTCAGTTTCTGAAGCAGAGAATCAGTGTTGCTTTAATATGCGAGGTAATGCTGCGTGTGTTCAGGAAACGTTTTGTATCGGTAAGAGACTGGACGAAGTGTACTATGTGTTGAAATGATGAGAACTGCGTAATTTTGAGTTTAACCAATGTTAAGTTGAATAACCCAATAAATAGACTTTTCTTAAGCTTTCGTTGCTTTAAAAACAAAATCCACGCAATATCCAAGTTTATCCAGCATATCCAAAATATCTCGTAACTAGTAGACCCCGCGCAAACTGATGAATTGTTATTTACGAAAACTACAAAGTACGAACCCATGACTACAATTTTAGTTTTATTGAGCGGAGCGTTAATAATATTAATATAGTTTCATCGGCAGAGACAGACAGTATTTCTGTATTTGCCATATACCGTACCTATTTGGTTGACTCAACTTGACTGCTTATCATAACGTATGTCGTAAATTACAGTATTAGTTATTTTGGCCATAGTTCACTGACAGATTAGGAGCAGTTAAAATGTATTACAGTTTACTAATCAGATGTTTAAGGCCGTTTTGAGAAAACATTGTCGCGTTCCGCTGACTTCGGATTTAACCTTAAATTAGACCCGAAAAATTTGAAAATTTCCAGGAATATGCCCTTTTTTGCAATTATAAAACAAAGTTTTTAAGCTTTCCCCAAATCAATCAGCAGCATATGCCGGTCAGTTGTCAAGAACCAAAAATAATAAAACTCCATAATAACTGGAATTTTTGTAGCCGTATTACAGTACTTCTACAGTTCTAGTACTACTCGTTCAGTCTGAGCTTTGTAAAATTTTAGTCAGTGCGTTGTGACCGACAAAACGATCCAGTGATACGACGGTACGACCACCGATGTTAACCTTTGAACCCTTAGAATAAAAATACTTTCCAGTGTGCAGTTTGCTCCTACTGCTTAGACACAAAACAATTTAAACCTGATGAAGACTTCAAAATTTCGTTGTATTCTTTCTTGAATTTTTTGTCATTAATTAACGTCGACAACTTTAGTGCGACCCCGCTGCAGATAGGCGTCGCCTGTGCTTCCGATTTCTGTTACGGCTTATAGAATTTGTTTCGAGTTTGGCAAAAATCTATGCATTCGCGTATTAATCCCACCACAACATCCCCAACGCATTCTCCCATCCCCGTCCCCAACCCATCCCAAACCCAACCCATTAAACGCCAACAACATCCCCAACCCATAAACGCATTGTGGCTTCACGCTTACATCCGCACAGATGGTTCATTTAATGTAGCTCGTCGCACCCAGGCCGGCCAGGCGCACCGGGGAGGGTATTCCCCGTATTTTTTGATTTTGACCTTTGATGGGAGATCGATCTGACGGATTGCTGTATAGCTGGCGGAAAGATAGATTAGAAAGCGGATAAGTTTCTCTTTTTGAATCTCCTGTTTGTTTTAAATTTTTAAATGCTAAAAATGCGATTTTTGTTTTCATAAAACCGTTTTTTCTACGTTCCTTAGTCTTTAGGAAAAATATTTTAACCTATATCCAAAATATCCACAAGAATGTTCATTGGCACGTTAGCAGGATATTACCAAAGCTAGCCGCCCTGTGGAAGCAGTTTCGATATTAAATCTAATCAACCTGTTGCGAAAGGCAACTACTTTATCTTTGGAATTTGAGTCGTTCCCACTTTCCAGAAGATTTCGCATGTTCAGTTTGTAAGAAACATCACTTTCAAAGCCTACATTTTTTTAAAAACTAACTCTTAATAAAAATCTTATGAACTAAAGGCAATCGGATAACAAATGGACACCAAAGCTCCATCAAGTGTAGATGAATGCTTTTCCTATGCTGTTCATGACGGTGGTGGCGTGGGTGGGTTTGCAGTGGTGGGTTCTCCACTTTTCCCATAGACTTTGTATGTTAAGTTCTTTTAAGATTTTCTCTGAAACTTAATACACTTTCAAAAAACTGACTGGTTCCTGCAAATCTGCAAACTCGCGGCTATTGAATGACATATAGACATCAAAGTTTGGTTCAGTGGCTCGCTCAAAAAAGGGAGACAGAAATGGAATTCGCTAAGGCTTATTTTATTAATATATAGGATATCCGAAATATCCGTATCCCGCCGGCTGGTCTCGGATATGGATATGATATTACGATATTTTGGATATGGATACACTTAGGATATTGGATATGCAACAACCTTAGTGATCAATAATACGTTATTTGTGACTAAAGCAATGAAAAATTCTCTTGTGTGGTGATAAAAACAGTCCCGCCAAGCTGTGCATCCGTTCTGAGTGTTAATACACGAAGTTGACCGCCTTCAGCGCTCGCGATTCCCAGCGTGATTATACCGCCGTGTCCTTGGTACATTGCTCCACAAAAACTGTGCTGGTTCTTATAATCGTATCAAGTACGGGAAATGGCACACAATTCCGGTAACCATCCGTTTTCTGGATTAACGTGCAACAAGCGTCTCATAACAACAGAAAGCCCGTAATCCACGCATTACCATACACACGATCCACTTTTGCATAATGTCTCTCAAAATAACCAATCGCAATTGCGAATTGAACGGTCAGGTGACACTGCGCCACAAATCAGGCTCATCAGTGACCACACATCTTGAAATCCCGGCATACATCGATCGGCCCAAGTTAAAAATTCCAATTAAGTGCGGTGCTTTCGTTATCACAGGCTTAACAAAGAATTAATGCCGTGTGCATACATGCCGTGCTTAGTTAAGAATTCGGAAAGTGGACGTCGCTTCCCACTTCCCAGTGTACCATATGTCGGTCCCACCCATTTAAATTGTAATGCGTCGCGGGCGGAAGATGCAACGCGCATAATACAGCATTGCACTGCAGCAGTAAACGTAAACTCCTCTTACCGCCATCACATTTTTAATTACTGTTTTTTGAAAATCAAATCAATATCTACGCTGTATCGAAAATTATATAAACGCTAATGCCACGTTCAGATAAAATAATTTCGTATAAAACAAGCCGTAGTGCCGCGATCTAGCCGACATTTTCTACTTGCCAGTCCTGAGAAATTAGTTCCCGGGAGCGAGCTGCCCAACCGCAGTCCCAACATCGGTCCATCGAATAAGCAGGCCGCTTGTGGATGCAAGAGGAAGTGCATGAACTGCGCCATGGAGCAGGATGACCACCTGAAGCCGTTGACGTTGTGGCGCAGATCGCTCATAATGTAGCCGTGGTACCAGTTGAACACTTCTGCGCCCGATCCGCCCGGTTACGGGGGCACCGCTATGACGTCATGTACGCATCCCGGTCTAACGAAACATACTGGACTGTATTTACGTTTACGACATACTGTTCGGTATTTACGAGTAGTGGCGAACGAGCAACGTGCGGCATATAAACAGTCACACTGTTAAACCATGTTCCACAATGCTTTAATGTGCTCTGTATTCCTGGAGGATATTACAACGGAAGCCTGTCGGTGTGCTCCCGTTTACTGTGGGTTGGCTACACGCCGCGCCACGCCGCTAAACAGACCGATGTTGGTGGTCTAATCTCAAGACAATTACAGCTCACAGCAATCAGGATAGATCTTACTGTTCTCTCTGGATGAAGGGAAATGTGAGGATGAGAAACGACAGGTCAAGACGAACGATCGATCGACAGGTTGCCCATGGACCAATTTATTAGAATTCAGGAAGTTACTCAATCACCCACTGATCAGCGTCCAATCTTACAGTCTCGCATCACCCCGTTAAACACCGAAAAACACTAGCCAGCTGTGACTCATCATTCCGCACAGACTGACCAATCAAATAAAGTTTTAGTTATTTGAATTGTCAACAGTTGCTATATCCCCGCCGTAAGCGGTTAATTAGCGAATTAACCAAGACACAAAAGAGATTAAAAGAAAAATACTGTTATTCCATCAAAACAAAAGTGAGCAATTTATTAGTAAAATCCATGGAAATTACCGAATTCCCTTCCGTCCATGCCTGTCCTACACTTCACGTATCCGCTTCGGAATCCTCGTCCTTTCCATTCTGTCCATTACGTCGCGCTTCGCGCCATTCCTCCTTCTCTTTCTTACGCTGATCCATCATCACCTTCAGATCATCCTCCAGCTGCCGTTTCTCTGCTTCTTCCTTCTTTTGCTTTTCTTGCATACGTTTGATCTCCTGCTGGTACTTCTCTGTTTCCGCTCGTAATCTTGCCAGCTCATCGAGATCTCCACTACGAATACGCTCTTCGCTCTGACTACGCTGTACGTCCGCAGGTAATTCCTTCTCAATACGTTCACCAATTTTACGAATGTCACGTTCCATTGCAATATGATGTCCGCAGCTCCACATGTCAATCGAAGCATACTGTCTACGGCGATCTGCATACCACTGTTGTCGCATACGGTCCAACTCACGATACATACGTAAAACATAATCACGGCTCGTTTCATCATATGTACCATCCCACATACAATCGCCCGACCAAAACGAAATGTCATCCGGAAAGAATCGGTTCGGATTAAAGTATAAGGGCGGCTCCTCACTACGTCGGAATCGTCCCTGGATAAGCTTGAACACTTGTCCATAACGATTCTCCCAACGAGTCGTACCGTCCTTCTGGGATTCATACGTGATCCACGAAGTTGCCGCGAAACGGTCATAAAACCACGTTTCCACATACTGTGGACTGAGCGATGTTTTAATAGGCTCTGGATACGATACAAAACGCTTCTTGTTTTCCGCTTCATTACTTCGTAACAACTCCAAAAACGTCTTCAGCTCTAGCACGTGCCATCGTTCCGCTCTACGAGTTTCCGCCTCTTCTGGACTCTGTTCACTTTGCGCCAATGCATTCAGCCCCTCCGCCATACGATTCAGATCAGCCATTACGGCACCATACTGATCTTTACGCAAGCGCTTTTCCATACTCATATATGGATGAATCGGCAAGTTCCCAGGTACACCCGGTTGAATACGGTACTTCACGTTCTTCAGGACAGCTTCTCCCTGACGTCTACGCGCAATGTCCGTTTGCTGCTGATTAAGCTGCTGCATACGCTGTGGATTCTGCTGCATCATACGCTGCTGATGATTATGTGTCGATTGCGCTGGTCCACTGTGACTGGGCACACTCTCCGCCACGCGCTGTGCCATTGTGCGGTTTTCCAGCTGCACATAAGATTTAAAATAAGTATCTGCTTCAGTATACATTCTCTCATTAAAGCAACATACATTATTACAATCTGCAGAACGTTGATGTGTCTGCTCTCGCGGTTCGGAACGCATCATGCGCGAGTTAACCATGGCTTCGCGTCCATCCTTGAAAGTAATCGGAGGATGTGCTCTACGCTGCTCTGGCTCGTTATGCTCCACGGTTTCACTACGGTACACCGGCGTCATCCTGATGAACGGCATATTGTCCCTCTCCGCATCATCACCACGATCTACGTGCGACGCGGGTGGCATACTGCTCTCCTGCTGACGCTGACCACTCATACGTTGCTGTCGACGCTGGGATTCTAACTCTCTGCGATAATTTTCACGATCCCGTGCTTCCTCATCTTCACTCCACGAAATAGACTCTGTCAAACGATCTACTTCCTTGCGCGCACCACGGAGACGTTCTTCTGCGATCTCTATTTCAAGCTGATCCCCATAAGCTTGAATCTGTCGCAACTTTTCACTACGTTCTTCCACTTCACGACGCCACTTATCGCGCTTCTCCTTGTCTTCCGCACGCCATTGCTGTCTTTCCCGCTCACGTTCTGCACGCTGCACACGCTCACGTTCTTGCTGGTCACGTTCACGCTGTTCACGTTCTCTTTGGAGATTTACCGCATCAGCATCTTTACGCTCCCGTGCCATCTGCTCCATACGACGCAGGCGCTCTTCTGCAGTGTCATCATTCTTTCGCTCCATTTCTGCTAAGGAACAAAACGTAATTAGTACAGAGGCACAATACGGACTGTATTAAGTTTCATACGAGTATGTTAGTTCAATTTCTTATTAGTCACTGGACAAGTTTTCGTAGAAACTGTATGAGTATTCTTAACGGAGGAAACTGTGGTCGGCTTATTATTCGCATTATCTGTCTTAGCTGCTATACGTTCACTTCTACGTCTGATGAAGTCATTTTTACTATTTAATACGTCCGGATCGTATTCTTTATACGATTTTAATTTATCCATATGTACAGTAATTATCTGACGACTACGACTCGATTTATCCATTGACTTTAACTTCACGTTTACTACGTCTGTAATTTCTAAAATTTTGTACGGTCCTTTATATAAGTACTGTAACTTCTCAGTACTGCCAACTGTACGCTGTTCATTTTTCACCCATACGTAATCACCTACTTTATACGTGCTATCTTCACGATTTCTATCGTAATTCTCCGCATTCTTTTCATGCATACGATTAGTCAATATTTTTGAAAATTCCGTCGCAATTTGTAACGCTCTGAACATTTTGTCAAAATACTGCTTTACTGTTACGTTATCAGTGTTTTCCGATTTAATTTCCTTGAATAACGTATCTACCGTACTGAGCGGCTGCACACCAAACATTAAGTACGATGGTGCATAGCCGGTGACACTATGTACTGTACTGTTATACGCATACGTAATAAAGTCTACGTAATTTATCCAGTCATTTTGCATCTTATTAACATACGCAGTTAATTTCTCAGCAATAAAACGATTCATTCGCTCTACTTTCACGTTAGACTGCGGATGATAGGATGTCGTAAATCTGTGCTGCACTTGCATAATGCGATTTAGTTCACGAACAATTTTGCTGATAAAATTAGAACCACGATCTGTTGTTAAGTGTTTAGGAGGACCAAATTTTAAAATAATCTCATTTAGAATAAATTCTGCGGTCTCCTTCGCATTCGTAGTTTTCACTGCTGCGCATACGACAAATATTCGTATTCTCTATGGCAACAATAATATGTTTAAAACCTTCTGCAGATTCATGAAATGGTCCAAGTATGTCTATTGACCAACATTCCAACTTATCATACGATTTTAACTGCTGTAAATACGCTGTCGGAGGTATATTAATCGGATTGCGTTTTTGGCAATGTTCGCACGCTTCCACATAATTACGTACATAATGTAGCATTCTTGGCCAATAATACCGTTCAAGTACGCGCTCTAATGTACGCTGTAAACCAACATGTCCGCCACTTGGACTGTCGTGCATTACGTATAGTATGTCGGCACGCATAGTACTGGGAATACAGTACAACAATAAGTTCTTGCCTTTCCTGCACGCCTTTTTCATAAGTATTTCATCTATTATTCTAAACATTTCTAATCGCTTCTGTTTACGCTTGGTCGCTCTCTCATACGCCTCTTTATCTGTAAGTAACGTAATTATGTTACTACAGTATATATCTGCACGTTGTTCTTTAATCAACAGCTCATCTGCTTTATTGTCCATAATTGAATGATACATAGGAATTTGATACTCTTCTTCACCACACGGCTTTTCTACACTGTATCTGCTCAGATGATCTGCATCTTGATGTGCTTTACCGCGACGATACGTAATTATGTAGTCATACTCCTGTAACATCAACGCCCATCTAGCCAAACGTCCGTGCGGCTCTTTTAAGTTCAATAAGTACTGTAATGCACTATGATCTGTTATTATGACGAATTTAAGACCCATTAAGTAATGCCTGAACTTCTTGCATGCAAATACGATCGCAAATAGTTCTTTCTCTGACACCGAGTAATTTACTTGATGTTGGTCTAACATACGCGATGCAAAACACACGACGTGCCAACCGTCGTTGTGTTTTTGCTCTAGTATTGCACCGACTCCTATGTCGGAAGCATCTGTCTTTAGCTGCGTCTCCAATTTATAATCAAAGGGTTTTAGTACTGGTACGCTCATAAGGACTGTTTTCAAATAGTCATACGCTTGTTGCTGCTCTACTCCCCATATAAACGGCTCATCCTTACGAGTTAGCTTAAGTAAGGGTTGCGCATACGTAGAGAAATTCTCTATAAAACCACGATAATACGTTAATGCTCCGATAAACGATCGGACGGCTTTAACGCCATCTGGTACAGGTAATTTTGCAATTGCATCCACTTTACTTTTATCTGGTTTTAACCCATCTTTACTAATTAAATATCCAAGAAATTTTATTTCTTCATACGCAATCTCACATTTCTTAGGTGATACAGTAAATCCTGCCTTCGCTACCGCTGCTAATACGCTATCTAGCAATTCCATATGTTCATCAAATGTTGCTCCGCCTATTAGGATATCATCTACGTAACATACGACACCCTTCCACTTTAAATGTGAAAGTATGCTGTCGATTGCTTTTTGGAAAGTAGCGGTTGCTCCCGCTAAACCAAAAGGCATACGTAGGAATTCATATTGACCGTCCTGGGTCACGAATGAGCACTTTTTAACATCACGCTCTGCCATACGGATTTGCCAAAATCCACTATTGAAGTCTAGACTCGTAAAATACTTCGAATTTCCAAAGCTATTTACGGCATCCTCTACGTTCGGCAACGGCCACTCCGATTTATGATATATTTTATTCAACTCTCTAAAATCAATGCATAATCTCGGTACTGCATTTGGATCTGCTTTTTTGACTAATACGACAGGGAAACTCCATGGTGAAGTTGATTTACGAATCACACCATTACTTTCCATTTCATCTACTTGCTGCTTAATAATCATACGTTGCGAATACGAAGTACGATACGGTAGTTTCTTAATTGGCGGGTGATCGCCCGTCTCGATTTCGTGCGTTACTTCTGAACATTCGCCTAATTAAAGATTCTCACAGGGGAATACCGCATGATGCTTTACGAATAAATTAACCAGACGTCTACGCTGATCGTTGTTTAATTTAGGGTTAAATTTCATCTCACTAATTTGATCCAATACGTTAATTTTAACTCCATGATCTGTCTCTTCTACGACAGCTGTAGAAGTACTGAATACATTCTCTGCGATCACTTCACCTTCTTCAATAATCTCTGCAACACCAACCATAAGACCTTTACGTAAACGTATTGCACGATCAGAGAAATTAGTGATTAGTATTGCAGTTTTACCTTCCGCTGCCTGCACTATACTGTTTCCAACCGATACATGGTGGTTAAATAGTAAGGTACTTCCTGGGAAAACTCGCATCTGTCCCGTATACTGATCCGGTACTTCTATTTCTAGCAGCAAGCCGGTTTTCGGCTTAATACGAGTGTTACGGCTTAATTTAATCCGAGTACGATTCCAGCAATATTCTTTACTCGCGTCGTTTACGCTGTTAACTGGTTCATTGATTACCTCCGCCTCACTACGTACTTCATCAGTACTTCGTACTTCACACTGCACGGATTTATCCGTACAGACTACTGTCTGCACGGCTGTGGGATTATCCGGTACTATAGTACTAGTACTCTGTAGTTCTTCTTCTTCAATTTTATCCCGCATACGTTGCACATTGGCTTGTGCTTTCGTTATGTAATTAAAATTACTTTTTATATCCTGTACATCTGATACGCACTGCTTCTGTAAGTAGCGATCTTCGTATTTCTTATGCAGAAATTCTGTACGTTTATTCGCAATTTCAAATTTATATGCATAATTCTCCGCAGTTACATACTTAATACGATTGCTGCTATAATACTGCTCTATTATGCACTCAACATTCTCTGCTTTCGACCTAGTATCCGTATCGATACTGGCAATTAGCTTCGAAATTTCACGTACAGACTCACACGCTTCGAACGATATGTATCCTTTCTGCGTGTTAATTATTACGCCTTCACGTTTTATAAAATCATTCCCGAGTATACAGAATCTTGAGGTGCTGTACTCAACAACCAGAATTCTTGCTTAAATCTATGTTGACCCATACGTATTTCGCATTCAGTATAGCACGGCTTACTTTCTTTTACGTCACTGCTAATAGTAGTAAATCTCAGCTGCTGCCCTTCCGGTGCTTCAATACGTTGCAATTTTAAATCTAACATCATAGGATAACTCATTATGCTAGTACTTGCACCCGTATCTATGAGTGCTTCTATTTCCTGTCCGTTTATAATCACGCTTACCTTCGCTGGTTTGCATGATGCCGGTCCACCGTGTACATTAGCACTCAGCTCACTACGTTTCAGCGGTATGGTACCACTCAGTGACACAATACGGTCTACAGGAGGCTTTCTGTTTACTCGGCCATACGGACCCCCGTTTACGTATGGCGACAGTCTTTTCCCTCCGCTGACGCCCAGAAATTATCGTTCTGATTTCCTTTTTCTACTTCATCTTCATATGCTCGCTGCAACTCACGCTTTTTGTCCTCTGGACACTTCGGTAAGATTGACTCTAGATCTCTACGGCTCTTAATAAACGGACACATACGAAACCCATGCCGATAGTCAAAGCACTTCGGACAGAAATACAATCCGTTATTCAATCTATACGATGAGAAATCTATCTCATTACGACTGAACTTCCACTGGGTAATTGGTAAATCACGTTGTCCAGGGCTGCGAGAACGAGAAATTCTACGATTATCATTACGTTCTCTGTTGCGATTCACATCACGATCTCGACTTCCACTACGACCACGGGAAAAATCCCGGCGAAATCGGTCACCACGATCGCGACTACCACTGCGTCCTCGCTCATCCCGGTTCCGTCTTTCATTTCTGCTAGGATTCTCATACGTACGTGAATCGCGATTGCCATAACGAAAATCATTACGGTATCACGGTTATTATTATAACGATTATCAGTACGGGCATCCCGATTTGCATACGTATTCCTGCTATTATTACTGTATCGGTTATTACTGTACTGATTGTTACGGAAGTCATTACGATCGCGACTACCACTGCGTTCCCGAAAAGATCTAAATTTATCAAAAGATCTAC